TGACTCACAATACGGACATCATATGCAATATCTATACGAGTCATAGTGAGATAGATGAGGGAGCCAACGAGTTTACGATACATTGTAGACTCAAGAAGAATATCTCCAACATGTGCAGAAAGTTTAACATTAAGTTCCACAACGGTATCAACAATCTTCACATTATTCAATCAGGCACTGGAAACAAGGATCAAGTGCATAGTTTTGTTGATGGATATAAATACCACGTTTAGAGTAAGTGATCTCAAGGCCAAAGAAATAAGATATGTCCCCAAGGTCCTTCATTTGAAATTCTTCTTGCAATTGTAGTTTCATATCCTTGGTAGAAATGAAATCATTGCCAGAGATAATAATATCATCAATATATAATAAAATAATACAAATATCATGCTTTGTGGTACAAATAAACATGAAGTGATCATTATTACTTTGAATAAAGCAAGTTGCAAGAATGACAGCTCGAAAATGCTTAAAACATGCTTGGGAGCTTGTTTGAGACCGTAAATTTCCTTACGAAGTTGACAAACCAATGACTTATCTTGAGAAGCAAACCTAGCTGGTTGACAAACTTCCTCTTGAAGTTCGCCATTAAAGAATGTATTTTTTACACCCATCTGCTATATGGGCCACTCGAAAATAGATGTGAGTGCAATAAGAGTATGAATAGTGGTTATCTTAGCAATTGGTGCAAACGTTTCGTTATAATTGATGTCATGCTCTTGGGTATAACCTCGAGCAACTAATCGAGCCTTGTGCCATCAGCTCGTAACTTGATTTTATAAACCCATTTACTATCAATAACATGCTTGTTTGGGGGCTATGGGACCAAATCCCAAGTGTGGTTGGCCTCTAGAGCTGCAATTTCCTCATTCATAGTTATATGCCAACATAAGAGTTTAGATGCCTGAGAATAAGATGATGGCTCATGAAACAATGGATTAGTAATGGTTTCAACATAACAAGTATGGTATGGGCTAACCACTAATAAATTAAGGCGATCAAGTGAAACTAGCTTTCGAAGTAGCTACCGAAGCTGAACAGGTGTTATAGGAGGATCAACAACTGAAGGTGAAGTATGTTCAACACTTGAAAAATACGGCTCAATAGAGTTAGTTACTCAAAGTGGTGATCACTGATTTCCATGATAATGAGAACTTTCATCTTGAGAATGAGGAATATCAAAACTAAGAAGAAAGGAAAACTTCAGTTCATGTATAGTTGAAATAGGGTGTGAGCGGTGTTGGTGGAAGGGTATGTGCTTTAAAAATGTAATATGTCGGGATATTCTAATACATTTAATAGAATGATCAAAATAACGATATCCCTTTTGATTAGTTGGATAGCCTACAAACATGTATTTGACAGGACTTAGATGATAACTTGTTACTGGTAGGAGATGGTAAAAGCATAAAGCATGTGCATCCAAACACACGTAAATGTGAGTAATCAAGGGTTTTTGAAAATGCTTTTCAAATGATGACAAATTATATAAAACTGATATAGGAAGAAGATTAACAAGATAGACATCAATAGATATCACTTTAGCCCAAATGTTCACTAGGGAATGTGAGCTTATAAGAAGAGAACGAGAAGTTTCAATAATATGACGATGTTTTCTTTTAGCAACTCCATTCTGCTTAGGGTATGAGGGCATGAACGTTGGTGGATAACACCATTTGTACTAATATATGCGTGTAATTAATTGAATAAATATTCCTCCCAGAAATCAGACCTAAAAACTTTAATGTTTTTCTCAAATTCATTTTTTATCATATTATAGAAGTCTTTAAAAATACTAAACACAGTCGACTTATGTTTGAGAAAATAAACTCAATTATACTTTGAAAATCCAACTTTCAATACCACATAATAAAAAAAGCCACTAATTAAAGGAATATGAACATGACGTCAAACATCAAAGTGCACTAAAGAGAAAGAATGAACACTTTTATTATTACTATGAGGAAAATGTTGAACCAAGTATTTTCCCAACTTGCACCTCTCACAAACAATATTTTTATCAATTTTTTTATGAGTGAAGACAGCAGGTAAAAGTCCAGACTTTAAAAGAGAGAGCATTTTTTTAGTGTGTGGGTGTCCTAACCAACAATGCCAAACATACCAAAGAGAGTTTGATTGACTTATTTCGTGAGGTGAAGGGGAAAGATGACAAACTTACAAAGCTTGTGAAAGGTGGGAAGGAGCTTCAGTGAAACTAACTATGAAAAGCCGACCTTGCTTCGGCCTCTCCCAATCACTTTCCCCGTTACTAAATCCTACATCATGCAAGCTTTTTAGAGAAAGAAATAAAACACTTATTATCAACTAACTGACCAATAAATATTAAATTAAGTGGAAGATTGGGAATATGATGGATAGCTTTCATTGTGAAGGAGTTACTAGATGGACTATGGACACTGGTATTACTATAGTGGATAACATGAAATGAAGACCTATTAGTAGTAAAATAAATTGTATTTCCAGAATAAGGTTTTACTGAGGATAATTGAGAAAGTTGTCCTATCAAATGATTCGATGTTCTTGAGTTTATGATCCAAGTGTTTGATAAAAAATTTGAGTTACCTTAAAATCCCATGGCAACTAAAACCTGAGTAAGTTGTTGAGTGTAGTTGACTCAATAGAGTAAATATCTGACATAGATGAAGGGGAAACAGATATAGAGGCAGAATGAGAGTGAATGGAAGTGGCATCCTCCATGCTAATGGGATTAGGAATAGAGGCAACTGTAGCCCATTGAATCTGATTAGGTACAAGAGTTTTTCCCACATGCCGAAGGATGTTTTCAATAATTATTAATTACACGCCCTGGCTTATTGCAATAATTGTAAAAAATTTGCTTTTTTAATCGATCAGTCGTGTGAACTTTTTGTTTGCATATATGATATTGCACTTGGACATGGTTGGCATCCTTGTGAGGAAAATTGGATATAGCGAATGCCACCTCAGTAACATCTTGTGAGGTGGATTTGCAAACTCTAAAGAGCCTAAGTGAGGTTATTCAACAAGAAGATCTGTGAGACAATCATCTAATGGTGGAGTGGGAGTATGATGAAGGATTGATGCTCACATGCTTTCAAACTCTGATTGCAACTTCATAAAGAAGTAAAATAAATGAGATCGATTTCGTGCTTTAGTAATAGCTTCAATGGGTGGCTTTGTTTCCATTGAGTCCATTTCATTCTTGAGAGAGTATTAAAATAATTTTAAATTGATGAATCCCCATATTATGTTTTCATGCTCTCTTGTTCAAGGGTATACAGAAGGGCAGTGTTTTCTTAAAAATAAATCTTTTGTAAATAATCTCACATTGCTTTGACACAAGGTTGATATGTGAAGTTGTACACATTTTTAGGCTCAACTGTGTTCATAATCCATGTCACTATAGAGCTATCTATGGCAAGCTAATCATTACGCCCGTTTTCATCCTTAGGTTGGAGAATATAACCATCAATTTAGGCTCATAAATTTCATCCCACGAGAATTGGAAAGACTACAAATTGTAGTTATTTTCATCAAGACGAACATAGATTTTGCACTATCTGTAACACTTTTACACTCCACAGATGGGTAAAATTTATTTATTTTTCTAGAAAGTTTATCTAGAAAAATGATCAATTGGAGTAAGCAATAAGAATTAATTTGAGATACTACAAGGGAAAAATTACTTTGACAAGATTTGCTTTGATGAGAAGGTTTCTAGAGAGACAAATTGTGCTAATAGGATGGAAGACTTGCTGCAAATTGATAGTTTCAATGGAAGACTGAATTTTTTTTTCATATAAAGAGAATGTGATTAATGGTGGTGGTGTTGGATGATACAATAAATACTAGGGAAATAAAAGAAGGCTTGGATATGGGAGAGATGAAAGAAAGGTTTTTAATGAAGGTGCAGTTGGAATACGGATGCATCCGTAGCGGTAGAGGTAAGGCGCATCTTCAAATTTTATCATGGTATATAATTTTAATGTAAAATATTCTTAAGATTATCTCAAAATCTATTTTTATATTTAATAATAAAATTTTATTTCAAAAATGGTTAAAATCAAGCAGATCTATGAACATATAAAAATCTTGAAAAAGGACGGTGTAGATAATATGTTGTAAAATACACTATTTATGAGATTTAAAATCTTTTTATTTTCATAGTCATACATCTCGATGTCGAGATGATCAATCAAAGGGTTTTTCAACGGTAAAACTACCTTTCCGATGGATTTTTGAGGTGCATATGTAGTTCTACATTATAAGGTTGCATCCTCATATAAACTTTTACCTTTAATGAATGAAGCAGGCTTACTGGTTTTTTTTTTTTTTTGGGTTGGTTGATGAATGATTGAAGAAAAAATAACTTGATGAAGGAGTTGGATGTGAGAATATGTGAGAGAAGGGAAGATGGAGAAGACTTTGGAAGGGGAAAAGGGATGCAAGACAATGGGATTAGGGATGCAAATAAGGATGCAAAGAGGACAAGTACAACATCTTGGTTTGCAACGTTGGTACAACAGCGGAGATTTGCAAGACAAAAATTTTGCAATGCAAATTTTGATGGATAACAACAATATTTGTTGAGGAAGCTTGCAAGAAAAAAAAAAAATACTATTAATTTATCTACACTTTTTTAAAATATTGATCGATCACCAAAACCGCCTGGTTTCGGCCTAATTAGGCGGTTAGCGGTTTGATCGCCCAATTTTTCCAATAGTGTAACCAGCCACATTAACCACCTACCCTTAAGCCCATTCACATGCTATAGGGAAAAGTCTATTATGATAAATATAGCCATAGAAAAACTATACTTACTAGCATCCTTACCCCCAATTAAGGGATAAGCGGTGATGAAGACCATGAGATCCAACAAACTTTAACGTCAACTTAGTGTAATCGTCCATTAGTTTGACAGACGGTGATAAAGGCTCATGAATTGTTTTCATATGGTCATGTGGATCATTTTACGCATTCTCGTGTAATATGAGTCCAATGCTCCTGTATTCACGAGTAAAACCCTTGTGTGTTTGCTTGGTGCTTGAATACGAGAACCCCATACGAGCCGAGAAAACCCTAGATCTTCTGCAACAATGGTGGCCTTTAGGGTAAGCCTGAAACTCTTGTTTCTGATTTATTCTTATTTTCTCATTACATTCTGTTATCTGTTCATCTATTCATACATTTTTCTTCTTTTTTTTTTTTTTTGTACTTCCATTTTTTCTCCAGTTTCATCAGTACCAGGTCGTAGGTCGAGCTCTTCCAACTGCTTGTGAAGAGCATCCTAAGCTTTACAGGATGAAGCTTTGGGCAACGAATGACGTAAGGGCGAAATCTAAGTTCTGGTAAAGATTCAGACCCTGTTTTTTTTTCTGAAAGATGGTGTGCCTCTTGCATTTTGCACTATCTATCTATCTTTTTGGGTATTATCTCAGAAGTTGTGGGAAAATTCTATCGCAAGATGGAATGAATCGCTTGTTGACTGCTTGTATTTGATGGAGGTTCATGGTTAGTGACTTAAGCTGTATAGTCTTGTAAATTTCCATGCATAAACACGGGAGTCTTTAAATTTCAGCTTTTTGTGCGTTTGGGATTTATGAAATGGTGTTGCAATGTGTTTTGTACTGAGATTTTCAATTAGTTAAGAGATTGATCCATTACTAAGAGCGTGGTAGAATAATCTGACTCAATTTATGTTCATGCCTGAGAAATACCTGGATGGTTGTTCATGTGTGAATGCTTCAATGATTTATCTTTCAGTATATTCAACAAACAATGTAGAAGTAAGATGATTCATGAAAATGGGTATTGAGAGCACATTTGGTTGTTATCATTAACATTTGGACCTTTTATCCAGCATTTCCTTTCAAGGATTAAATATTGCTTCTATTTCTAGACTTCATTCTGCCCCCCCCCCCCCTCCCCCAAATGTCCTAAGGATTACTGGGTAACGTTTTCTGATTGATTCATCTGCATTTCAAGTAGTGATCTGAGGAATCCTATTGGATGACAACCTTCACAAAATAATAGGGCCTTAACTTGTTTTAAAACCTGTACAACTTAACTGTCTGCTGTCTACACCCACTTTAACTCCATGAGACATTTCCATTGTTTTAAATCCATGAGACATTTCTGTTGTTTGAAATCCATGAGACATTTCCGTTGTACAAGTTCTTTAGTGTTTTTCCTTGTTCTTGATTGATACAATGTTTGACATGTGTTTTCTAAATACTGTTGTCATCTCCTCTATATTTGTTATCCATTTCTTCTCTCATGTGGTTTTCTCCCTTATTCATCTTATTTCTTTCATTGATTTTGTTTTGTATAGTTACAAATTTATTTGTTGATTTGTTATATGTTGGCCTTCCCTGCCTAGAAGCATTAGATGCCCATCTCAAGGAGATGAGGATGCCTTAGGATATGCGGACAGGATCTTTTTAATGGCTGCATTTGTCTATGCAAGAGTTGTATAAACTTGTTGGGATTGACTTGCCTAGTTGAACCATTCAATGCATTCATTACCATGCTATTGCCCATCTTAGTCAGGCTGAGATTCACGGGGAGTTGATTTCAGATGTATGCGGATGTGTTTATTTAATTTATTGGTGAGCATGCAATCTCAGCGTTAACCATATGTTGGGAAGAAGAGCTCCATACCAGCAAGTTAGGGTGACTTCCACGGAAACTCACCCCACCCTCATAAAGGAGGTAAAATATTAAATAGAAAAAACTAGAAAAATTCAAAAAACTTGGGAAACATCACTATTTTGGTTGGCATTAAGTTTTGAAAAAAATTTATATAACGTGTCAACATTATATTATAGACGTAAGAACCAAAACAGATTGTTATTATTCTATAAACCCTCTAATTGATCATCTTGACCTCAAGATGAATGGATACGAATAAAAATTGATTTGAAATCTTGAAAATAATGCATCTTGTGGCGCATTTCTGGATCGCCTATTTTCAAGTGTTTATATATCTAATCGATCTGCACTATTTTTAGAGCTTTAAATTTCATGATTAGGGATGAAAACAATTTTTTAGGCCATCACGAAGTTTTCTGGTACCAAAAGTATATCTTTTAACATAATTTGGAGGCACACCTTATGTGGATTATTTAAGGTTAACGCCTTATACAAACCACACCCTTAAGTTTTTAGGTGATTTTTGTAGTTTTTTAGATGATTTTGGGAACTTTCATTTTTTTTTTCTCTTTTTTAATTTTTTTTGAAATATTCAGAATCTAAATAAAAAGTTTCAATAATCCATATTTTGTAGATCTTTTTATCTTTTGATTTCCAATGCTTTCTACTACCTCTTTATTTTATTTTTCTCGTTTCCAACTGTTTCTATTCTTTATTTTTACTTTTTTTTAGCCCTTCTTTTTTTTTTTTTAAATTTTATTGGGTTGTACGTGCCTTGGCTGAGTCCACTTGGACTCAGCTAGTCACTCACATCAAGAACATGCGTATTACATGCACTTATATATATGTTTGGTTTACATTTAATAGGATTTTTGAATGATATACCCTATGAAATATGCATGCATGTGTATGTATAGATCTATTTAGCATAATATATACACGATAGGTATGGTGTCATGTAAGAATATTTAAGGCTGGGGTCCAGCCTTAAGTCTTACTTGGTAGAATAATCTTCTATTTACTAATTAGAACTTGGATGTTGCTTATAACATTTATTGTTTTAAAGGGACTTGGCTGGGTCGAAGACTTTGCACATCATTGAGATGCCTCCTTGGCATATCCTTGAACCATCACATTGATTTTCTTCACTTGTTTTTTATGTATTTGAAAATTCGCTTGTTTTCCTTGTAATATTAGGAAAGACAACCCTAATGATTTCCCAACTTTCATACATCACTAGGCAAACCAACTTAATTTAATTGAAATTTTAGAGAGTCGATGCACCTCGTCGTCCTATCAAAATCAAAAGTTACATCTCTATATTGTTGAAATCCCAACTGAATATTAATTTTGATGCGCAAATAACTTTAGCTCTCTCTCAAATGATTAGAAAGTGAAAATCCACATAACTATAAAATGTGATTGTTTCTCGGCTTTAATGTTGTGGTATTTGCCCATTTGGTGGATTCTGTACATTTTTTATATCGATATTTGGTTTTTTTGGTTTATTTGCTTACATTTATTTTCATTTAATTTTCTTGTATAATACTTCAATGGAAGTATAAAATTTGTTGAAAATATGGAAATTGTTCTATAGTTAGGATTTTGTTCATTTATTTTCTTTATTTTGACACAGAAAATTGATTGTTTTGTTGAATATTTAAATGCATTTATTGAAGATGTGGAACCATGGAAATTGTTCGAGACTGTGTGTTTTTGAGTATTCGCAATTGTTCTTTGTATTGGTACTGATATGAATAAAAAGTTTTTTTTATATATTTAATTTTCTTATTGTTCCTAATTATTTTAGGAATTGTTTTGGATTTTTTCTTATTTTCAGGTTTTGTCCTATTTTTTCTATATTTTGAAGTCATTTGGATTTTTTCAAAATTTTATTTTATTTTTTTAAATTTGATCGGTCTGATCAGTGTTCCATTTTGGTTCGATTGGTCTAACTGAACAAGTGCCTCTTCCAGTTCGATGTCCGCTCTGGTCTAATAATTTGTTCTAGTCAATACCTGGCTTGACATTAACATTAGAGGTGATGGATGGTTTGTTTCTGGTTTGGGGGTCATGTGATAATATTGATGAGGGAGGCAGATAATAAGACATTTGATATTAGAGTTGAGTTTTGTGGCCCTTAATAGGGCATTGTGATCCACTCAAGCAATAGTCAATTATATGGAAACAGAAAGAAAGCAAAAAAATACTATGTAGACCCAAAAAAGACTATAAAGACCAACCCTTTGCCTAGGGGTTGGAAGAGATGGGTAGAAGCCCAAGAGGTTGAGTCAAAAAGTCTGCTGGTCAGAGGTCTGACCGACATTGTTTTTTAGGGCCTTCCTTTTGTTTCGATTCTGTGCGTGGAAGAGTGGGTTGGACTGCTGGAGAGTTGGTCCTTCCAGAAAGGGCAATTATTCTGTGTTAATCGTATCACATGTTCTTCATCAAAGCATGACGATGGTGCCCTGTAGGATTCAAGATTCATGACCTTGTTATGAGTGGCCAGGTCTTAGTCATAGTAATTCTGTTTAATGGATAGTTGAGATTCATCTTGTTCATTCTCGTAGGATTGAGAAAATTCTTCCTTCGTGAATGCAAAATTTTGTTCTGCAGGTGTATGACGGGCTCTCATATCTTCATATGACCTGATTTTCAATCTGCAATGGTTTGGCCTGGGTTGGAGAGGTTGTTTGGTGGCCTTTGGGCCATCCCTCTTTGGGAAGTAGCTACCTAGGTAGTGGGTGGTCTGAGGATATGATGTTCATTGACTCAAGGGGGACAATTAACTAGGAATCTCGTAACTGAAGGAGGAAAAAACTCTGCACATATGTTGCCTTGGAAATTGGTCAAAATTAATAGTCTTGTATGAAACGATGGCTTGTTGTCAATCTGGTGACAATTGCAAAAAAGTGATGGAAGTTGTGGCAGCCAAATAAATCTGACTTAAGAGCCTATTTGAATGTACACGTTATCACTTGTAATTCATTATTTTACATGTGTTGTTGTGCAGTGTCCATCATAAAGATAAACTTATATGCAGTTCTACATATAAGATTATCTTTTTGAAATGCAGTTTTTCTGTGTTCACAGTATTATGCTGAAAATCGCATTTTTTGCCAAAACTTGCTAAAAATAGCAAGCAGGGAATCATTGAAAAACTAAATAACTAAACTAGATAATGTTATGCTTAGTATAAGATATGTACCAAACAAATAACTAGATAATTTTAGCCAGAGTATATTAGTTCTAGATAGGATAGTATATTCCAATGATTTAAAAAGCGGATCGGTGACCCGGATCGGGCACCTCAAAAACCAATCCGGATCGGCGAATTGGCGATCCGGATCGGGAATCGGCTGAATCGGTGGGATTAAAGCTTCAAAAAAATCCGAAAAAATTATTAAAATTCATTATAAATGTTGTTTTCTAGGAATCCAATAAGAAATGCGGGTACTACATTATTAACTTTCAGTTTTTTCATCAATTTGTGAATATTGAGATGCTCTTTCCCTGTATAAACTTAAGTATTAAATTTGTATCACATAAAAAAAAAAA